AGCATGATGTTGCCACCCCCATGCTTCACAGTAGGTATGGTGTTCTTTGGCTGCAACTCAGCATTCTCTGTCCTCCAAACACGACGAGTTGTGTTTCTACCAAACAGTTCTATTTTGGTTTCATCTGACCATATGACATTCTCCCAATCCTCTTCTGGATCATCCAAATGCTCTCTAGCAAACTTCAGACGGGCCCCGGACATGTACTGGCTTAAGCAGGGGGACACGTCTGGCACTGCAGGATCTGAGTCCCTGGCGGCGTAGTGTGTTACTGATGGTAGCCTTTGTTACGTTGGTCCCAGCTCTCTGCAGGTCATTCACTAGGTCCCCCCGTGTGGTCCTGGGATTTTTGCTCACCGTTCTTGTGATCATTTTGACCCCACGGGGGTGAGATCTTGCGTGGAGCCCCAGATCGAGGAAGATTATCAGTGGTCTTGTACGTCTTCCATTTTCTAATTATTGCTCCCACAGTTGATTTGTTCACACCAAGCTGCTTGCCTATTGCAGATTCAATCTTCCCAGCCTGGTGCAGGTCTACAATTTTGTTTCTGGTGTCCTTCAACAGCTGTTTGGTCTTCACCATAGTGGAGTTTGGAGTGTGACTGTTTGAGGTTGTGGACAGGTGTCTTTTATACTGATAACAAGTTCAAACAGGTGCCATTGATACAGGTAATGAGTGCAGGACAGAGGAGCCCCTCTTAAAGAAGAAGGTCCAGGTCCGTGAGAGCCAGAAATCTTGCTTGTTTGTAGGAGACCAAATACTTATTTTCCACCATAATTTGCAAATCAATTCTTTCCAGATCAGCCAATGAGATTGTCTGGATTTGTTTTCTCATTTTGTCTCTCATAGTTGAGGTCTCCCTATGATGCCAATTACAGGCCTCTCTCATCTCTGTAAGTGGGAGAACTTGTACCATTGGGGGGGACTAAATACTTTTTTGCCCCACTGTATACACAGGGCGGGGCTATACATTTAGTAACAAGAGACACATCAGCAGACACCCCCCACCAAGCCAATACACATAAACACATGCATCCCATAATAGTTTGTTCCGAAGCAAGACACACAATAGAACAATGGGATGCAGCCACATGGCACTAAATAATGAACAACCCCCCCCCCACACACCTATACATGTCTACACAATATTAGGACAGATCCCCCTGTACCCCTAACCGGCACAGGGGGACTTACACATAAGAGGGATATGGGGAGCTGAGACAGGGGTCTCCCCACCTCTCCAAAGGGGGCTGTGTTCCATGGGCCCCCCACCCATATGGAGCTGTGTTCCATGGGCCCCCCACCCATAGTGAGCTGTGTTCCATGGGCCCCCCACCCAAAGTCACTCCTGTTACACTGAGCATCGCTCTCCGTCCAGCATCCAGGCTCCAGAAGGGGTCGTTCTTGAAGAATGGGAAAAGATCGATGTCACAATATGTCTCTAACTTGTCCATTCCACACCTAGAAGACTCGGCGCCGTCCTCACCAATCATGGAGGTCACAGAATACTTGATGGAGGAGTTCTTGTTGTGGGGGGAGGGGGGGGGATTCATTTCTGCATCAACTAATGGGAGGAAAACTGAAGATTTTGTCATCGAAGTTCTATTATTACCTTCCTGTCATGTAATGAGCCGAACAAATGTTCCATCAAACTCCGATCTGTCCCCATGGTGGAGATCCTTCTTGTGTTCATTGGGAGATTGAGTAACCCCTCCCCCTCCAGAGGATTTCCCCCCCCTTCCTGACCAGGCCATTTTTTGCTTTACGGCTCTGCGTTACTTTGGCTGACAATTGCGCGGTCATGCAACGCCGCACCCAAATGAAATTTACATCCTTTTTTCCCACAAATCGAGCTTTCTTTCGGCGGTATTGGATCCCCTGTGCGGTATTTATTTTTTTCGCTATAAGCAACAAAATACGGCCAATTTTGAGAAAAGAATTATTTTGGACTTTTTGCTATTAAACACGTCCAGTAAAAAAATTATAAAAATCAAATTTCTTCTTAAATTTCGGCCAAACTGTCTCCCGCTCCGTGTCTTCCACTCCGTGTCTTCCGCTCCGTGTCTCCCGCTCCGTGTCTCCCGCTCCGTATCTTCCGCTCCGTGTCTTCCGCTCCGTATCTCCCGCTCCGTGTCTCCCGCTCCGTGTCTCCCGCTCCGTGTCTTCCGCTCCGTATCTCCCGCTCCGTGTCTCCCGCTCCGTGTCTTGCTGAACCGCTGTCTTGCTGAAAAAATCCCAATACATGTAAATTCATTGGTTTACATGAAAGTTATAGCGTCTACAAATGGCGGGATACAGTTACTGGGATTATTTTTTATACTAGTAATGGCGGTGATCAGCGCCTTATAGCGGGACTGCAGGACTGCGGCGGGCATTCTGACACTGGGGGGGGGGACTGCTTGGTGTCACTGACATTCCCAGTGACACCAATACAGTGATCAGTGCTAATAAAAAGCACTGACACTGTACTAATGGCACTGGGCAGGAAGGGGTTAATGTGAGGGGCAATCAAAGGGTTAACTGTGTGCTGTGTGTGTTTTACTAGGGGGCGGGGTCTGTGTGCTTCACTGTACGCATGCTGCTATGCAGAACCATACAAAAAGCAGTGTGCAGGAGCTGACATGGGAGAGAACTGTGTTGTTTATAAACATGGCAGAGATGCTCGGCAATAACCAGTTGCCAGCGTGTAATCACCAGCCAGGACCCGGTGATTGACAGCTGAGGCTGTGAATGGCGATGCAGGTAGGGCGCGCGTGTGGCTTGTGCACGCCCCCTACCTGGAAATGCAAAACCATGCATATATATGTGATTTTGCGCAGCCCTGCCACCCTGTAGCAGTATTTCTGCTATAGGGCAGAGGGGAAGTGGTTAAAATCTTACTTTTCAAAAGGGGTGTACTCATTTATGCTGCGCACTGTACATGCCGTGACGTCATCATGTTCTTGGAAGACCATTCCAGTTATCCAAGATTGCATTCCAGAGGGCGATGCGACATTTTATACATTTCTCTGCATTTGTTTTCATAAAATCGTTTGTTGGGATTCAGACTATGTGGAGCGTTTGGTTCCTTTCCTTTATGTCTGAATATTCATGTAGACAATGTGAGGTGACCACAGATGGTGGTTTGTGATGTTCCCTCCCGGTGAAGATCTGGTGGATGGAAGCCTCAAGCCTTGCCACAACTATAGGACTTCTCTAGAACTTGACAGTCACACTTTCAGTAAGCCCTTCGCTGTCTCGGCGTGGCGGTGGAGACTTGTTTGGCGTGGAGACTTGTTTGGCGGTGGAGACTCGTTTGGCGTGGAGACTCGTTTGGCGGAGGAGACTCGTTTGGCGGTGGAGACTCGTTTGGCGTGGAGACTCGTTTGGCGTGGAGACTCGTTTGGCGTGGAGACTCGTTTGGCGGTGGAGACTTGTTTGGCGTGGAGACTTGTTTGGCGTGGAGACTTGTTTGGCGTGGAGACTTGTTTGGCGGAGGAGACTTGTTTGGCGGTGGAGACTTGTTTGGCGGAGGAGACTTGTTTGGCGTGGGACTCACAACCTCACCCTTTGGATTTATTCGATGGAAGTCTAATTCTATGAACTATTGCACAGAGTGAGGACTTTTTGGAATCGCCATTAGTTTCAGATTGCACCAGAATGTAGGTGTCCATGTGAGTCCAGCCAGCTAGATGTTGGTGAGTCTCCCTTCCCATCCTCTCCTCTCTCCATATTCCTCCTCTGCCAAACAAGACCCCCTCCCCACTCAGCCAGTCCTTGGGCTATTTGTCCTTTACAGCAGGATTCATCAGGGACTGAGGGCTGTGAAAGGCAAAGTTCCAGTCAGAGATATAAAGTGTAATATTTATTTTGAACTATAACCGAAGGCAAATGGTTTGGCAGAGTGATGAGGACTTGCCTCCTGCTTCCCTATTAAGGTGATTGACTCTCCCTAATGGTCCTCGGCACCAAAGTCAGAGGGCAATTCTACAATTCTGAGCTGCCTCCAGAACAGGAAGTGAGGACAAACCTTCCAATCGGGACATACACCATATTGCCCCAAGTAATGGGCCGCACATGACCTTTCATGGCCTCCCAGTCTTAGTCCGTAGGGTTCAATATTGAGTTGGCCCCGCCCTTTCCACACACATGACCTTTAATGGCCCCTCCCAGTCTTAGTCCGTAGGGTTCAGTATTGAGTTGGCCCCGCCCTTCCCACACACATGACATTTAATGGCCTCCCAGTCTTAGTCCGTAGGGTTCAGTATTGAGTTGGCCCCACCCTTTCCACGCACATGACCTTTAATGGCCTCCCAGTCTTAGTCCGTAGGGTTCAATATTGAGTTGGCCCCGCCCTTCCCACACACATGACCTTTAATGGCCCCCCAGTCTTAGTCCTTAGGGTTCAATATTGAGTTGGCCCCGCCCTTTCCACGCACATGACCTTTAATGGCCCCCCAGTCTTAGTCCGTAGGGTTCAATATTGAGTTGGCCCCGCCCTTTGCAGCTATAACAGCTTCAACTCTTCTGGGAAGGCCGTCCACAAGGTTTAGGAGGGTGTCTATGGGAAGGTTGGACCATTCTTCCAGAAGCACATTTGTCAGGTCAGGCACTGATGTCAAGGGAGGGGCACTGATGTCGGGGGAGGGGCACTGATGTCGGGGGAGGAGGCCTGGCTCACAGTCTCCGCTCTAATTCATCCCAAAGGTGTGTTCCATGGGGTTGAGGTCAGGACTCTGTGCAGGACAGTCAAGTTCCTCCACCCCAAACTGGCTCCTCCATGTCTTTATGGACCTTGCTTTGTGCACTGGTGAGCAGTCATGTTGGAACAGGAAGGGGCCATCCCCAAACTCCTCCCACAAAGTTGGGAGCATGAAATTGTCCAAAATGTCACCTTAAGAGTTCCCTTCACTGGAACTAGGGGGCCAAGCCCAACCCCTGAAAAATGACCCCACACCATAATCCTCCCTCCACCAAACTTTACACTTGGCGCAATGCAGTCAGGCAAGTACTGTTCTCCTGGCAACCGCCAAACCCCGACATGTCTATCAGATTGCCAGACAGAGAAACGTGATTGGTCACTCCAGAGAACACGCCTCCACTGCTCTAGAGTCCAGTGGCAGCATGCTTTACACCATGGCATCCGACGCTTTGCATTGCACTGTGTCCATGGAGGGGATTGGAACACCTGAATCACATGATATGGAGGGGATTGGAACACCTGAATCACATGATTGGGAGGGGATTGGAACACCTGAATCATATGATTGGAGGGGATTGGAACACCTGAATCACATGATATGGAGAGGATTGGAACACCTGAATCACATGATTGGAGGGGATTGGAACACCTGAATCACATGATATGGAGAGGATTGGAACACCTGAATCACATGATTGGAGGGGATTGGAACACCTGAATCACGTGATATGGAGGGGATTGGAACACCTAAATCACATGATATGGAGGGGATTGGAACACCTGAATCACATGAATGGGAGGGGATTGGAACACCTGAATCACATGATATGGAGGGGATTGGAACACCTGAATCACATGATATGGAGGGGATTGGAACACCTGAATCACATGATATGGAGGGGATTGGAACACCTGAATCACATGATATGGAGGGGATTGGAACACCAGAATCACATGATATGGAGGGGATTGGAACACCTGAATCACATGATTTGGAGGACAATACTTGGGGCAATATAGTGTATTTAATTACCAGGGAATTTCCCTCACACTGAATCTCACTGCCTCTTGAGTCTACAGGGCAGGAAGGGAAGAGAAATCTCCCCAAATAAGACACAGACAGATGGCAGACACCAGCATTGGTCCTCACCCCTCCCTACCCGACCCAAATGAAACTAAAAGTGTTTGGCTTCAGCTATACTTTTTATTGAGGATATTATTTTACATACAAGTCTTGAGATCAGCATTCTGGAACCCCCTGCACAGGAGAGGGAGGAGCTAGGCTAGTAGCCAATCAGTCTCTGCTGCATGTACATGCTGACAGGAGCAGAGAGCAGGGTGAGCAGAGCGGTGTCTGGTCAGTGTGTTTCTGATCCTTCATTATCCAATCAGCAGGCTGGGGTTAGGTAGGTGACACCCCTGTATGCTTTGTCTCTAACAGAGAATGTGGATTTATGGGCTGGGCTGTTGGTATGTGAATCACAGACGTGGCTGAACAGAATTGGGAATCCTCCGGCATAGAAGGATCATTCTATTTTGTTTTTTATTCCATGTACATTGAGCGGACAAAGGGCAGCCATTTTCAGCAGCTCTTTCTTTTGCTTTGATGGTGGCCAAGTGGGAGGCTCAGGATGTATTGCCGCCATTGGTGCAGGTCATTGGATGTACAGCCGGATGAACACGGAGCCTTCCCTTGGGCTTCAATGATGGTGGCCCAGTGGGAGGCTCAGGATGTATTGCCGCCATTGGTGCAGGTCATTGGATGTACAGCCGGATGAACACGGAGCCTTCCCCTGGGCTTCAATGATGGTGGCCCAGTGGGAGGCTCAGGATGTATTGCCGCCATTGGATGTACAGCCGGATGAACACGGAGCCTTCCCCTGGGCTTCAATGATGGTGGCCCAGTGGGAGGCTCAGGATGTATTGCCGCCATTGGTGCAGGTCATTGGATGTACAGCCGGATGAACACGGAGCCTTCCCCTGGGCTTCAATGATGGTGGCCCAGTGGGAGGCTCAGGATGTATTGCCGCCATTGGATGTACAGCCGGATGAACACGGAGCCTTCCCCTGGGCTTCAATGATGGTGGCCCAGTGGGAGGCTCAGGATGTATTGCCGCCATTGGTGCAGGTCATTGGATGTACAGCCGGATGAACACGGAGCCATCCACTGGGCTTCAATGATGGTGGCCCAGTGGGAGGCTCAGGATGTATTGCCGCCATCGGTGCAGGACTATCACTGGATGTACAGCCAGATGAACACGGAGCCTTCCCCTGGGCTTCAATGATGGTGGCCCAGTGGGAGGCTCAGAATGTATTGCCGCCATTGGTGCAGGTCACTGGATGTACAGCCGGATGAACACGGAGCCTTCCCCTGGGCTTCAATGATGGTGCCCCAATGGGAGGCTCAGGATGTATTGCCGCCATTGGTGCAGGTCATTGGATGTACAGCCGGATGAACACGGAGCCTTCCCCTGGGCTTCAATGATGGTGGCCCAGTGGGAGGCTCAGGATGTATTGCCGCCATTGGATGTACAGCCGGATGAACACGGAGCCTTCCCCTGGGCTTCAATGATGGTGGCCCAGTGGGAGGCTCAGGATGTATTGCCGCCATTGGTGCAGGTCATTGGATGTACAGCCGGATGAACACGGAGCCTTCCCCTGGGCTTCAATGATGGTGGCCCAGTGGGAGGCTCAGGATGTATTGCCGCCATTGGATGTACAGCCGGATGAACACGGAGCCTTCCCCTGGGCTTCAATGATGGTGGCCCAGTGGGAGGCTCAGGATGTATTGCCGCCATTGGTGCAGGTCATTGGATGTACAGCCGGATGAACACGGAGCCATCCACTGGGCTTCAATGATGGTGGCCCAGTGGGAGGCTCAGGATGTATTGCCGCCATCGGTGCAGGACTATCACTGGATGTACAGCCAGATGAACACGGAGCCTTCCCCTGGGCTTCAATGATGGTGGCCCAGTGGGAGGCTCAGAATGTATTGCCGCCATTGGTGCAGGTCACTGGATGTACAGCCGGATGAACACGGAGCCTTCCCCTGGGCTTCAATGATGGTGCCCCAATGGGAGGCTCAGGATGTATTGCCGCCATTGGTGCAGGTCATTGGATGTACAGCCGGATGAACACGGAGCCTTCCCCTGGGCTTCAATGATGGTGGCCCAGTGGGAGGCTCAGGATGTATTGCCGCCATTGGATGTACAGCCGGATGAACACGGAGCCTTCCCCTGGGCTTCAATGATGGTGGCCCAGTGGGAGGCTCAGGATGTATTGCCGCCATCGGTGCAGGACTATCACTGGATGTACAGCCAGATGAACACGGAGCCTTCCCCTGGGCTTCAATGATGGTGGCCCAGTGAGAGGCTCAGGATGTATTGCCGCCACGGTGCAGGTCATTGGATGTACAGCCGGATGAACACGGAGCCATCCCCTGGGCTTCAATGATGGTGGCCCAGTGGGAGGCTCAGGATGTATTGCCGCCATTGGATGTACAGCCGGATGAACACGGAGCCTTCCCCTGGGCTTCAATGATGGTGGCCCAGTGGGAGGCTCAGGATGTATTGCCGCCATTGGTGCAGGTCATTGGATGTACAGCCGGATGAACACGGAGCAGTCCACTGGGCTTCAATGATGGTGGCCCAGTGGGAGGCTCAGGATGTATTGCCGCCATTGGTGCAGGTCATTGGATGTACAGCCGGATGAACACGGAGCCTTCCACTGGGCTTCAATGAAACGGTGACTACACAAACCTTCGTAGTACGGCTACACACGGACAGACGTCATTATTAGGGACATTTTCTATCTCTGGAGGAAGCGGACTTTCATTTTGGGGTTGTCTTGGAAATTCGCTTTAACGAATTTCTCCTTACCGTGAGTACTCGCAGTTGGATGCGCAGAAATCCCCCATAAAGCTGTGCGAATCTCGCTTACCACGACTGCAGCCAAACTACACGATTCCTGCCCATCCAAATACTTTGGTTCTGTTGAATTTGTGGGTGATTGGAGCTCCGTTACCCTGGAATGATCACACGACACTCTAAGGCTGGTTGCAACTCACATAAGGGGCCGCTTTAGGCTCAGCTCTCTGTTTTTATTAAGAATACACACATGCCCCCCACATGAATAAAGTCAAACCCTCCCACCGAACAATACAATGGGGATTGCCTATACAGAGGATGTACATTCCAATTGGAGCATAGCCTTTGCTATTATCTATCACTGGTCCTCCCCCATGAACCTTCTGAGGTCAGCAGACTTCCTCCCCTTCCCCCCTATGAGCCATCTGAGGTCATATTTCCTGTCCTACTAGCTTCTATTGGTATGTAAAATTCTCTGCACAAGCACTCCCTAAAAAATATCAGTC